ATATTATATTTATATATTATTATATCATTAATTATAATAAAACTAAAAAAATTAAGTTAAAAAAAGAGAAATTCTATTATTTTTTTAACTAATAAAAAAATTAATTTATAATTTTATATATATAAAAATAATCTGGCACCCCTAAAAAAAAATTCAAGTTCCACCACTGTGTATATGTAATCAATAAAAATATAAAAAAAATTACTGTAAAAAAATTGCACATTTATCAAAGAACGCACACTTTGTCAAGATGGTCTATCTCAATTGATTGAGCACAAGATGTGAATTATATTGTAAACTACTTGGTACAGATTAGATCCTAATAAATAAAAGCAAAAAAATAAAAAATAAAAAACTCTTTTACATTTTTATGCTTTCATGATTTAGCCGAGACAGATGAATGATTGACAAAACAATTGGCATTAACAAAAGTAAAAGTGCAGGTGGTAAAGTACTGCAAGACAAACAACTAAAAGACATAATAACCATTTCAAAAGGTGCAGGTGAGCGTAATTTACCATTGAGCTCCCCAAAGCACGTTTAATCAAAACTCTTCAATTATTTTGCTTTAACAAAGTAAATTTACGCTTTTCAGTTTACTCCATGACTAGAGCAAGGTGAAATCATGATGAAAGGATCATTGAAGCTAAGCACTTGAATTGGAGGATGAAAGTATCCAATTCCCACCAGCTGATGCATCTCACTGAAAACGTGTAATGGACGCACACAAAAGAGATTTCTTAAAAATCTAGGTTGAAGTTCTTTGTCGTTCGCTCTGAGCTATTGTTTTATTGTATACTGTATAGATTAATATTTTCACTGTTGATTTTTAACACTAAATTGTTAAGCGAAGGAAAAGAAAATAGTCGATACACCTACTAAATAAGACACAGATGAAGAAATTCAGCGATAACTCTTCAAAATAATAATTCACAACAGTCACTAGTTGAGATCCATATGCATATACAAATTGAAAACATGAGCTACAACATGATGGTTCTCAAGGAAATAGACTCTATAATGATTGATTGAATGTTATTTGGTACGGGTCTAAGTCAGTGTTTATTTTGAGGATAGAACCAACTATCCACAATTCTTATCGTATTTAGCCAAAATTGCCTAACTTCTAATCTTATGTGCTATTGCTAACACCTCCGCACAGGCTACAGAACTGTAAGGTACCCCCTAAGCACAGAAAATCAGCTACACAATGTACAGTTTTATTACAATCAAATGATATTATGAAAAATTAAAATAATGAACAATATTTGTTATTTAAATATACCTTCCTTTCCACACCATGGCAAACCTTTAAGAACGTCTCTCAAAGCATAATAATGGCTATCACATCTGTGGTCTGTGATCAAATTGCCCGAAAGGATTATCTTCTGGAAATGCTCACCAGGCTCCCTCTTCGAAAGGGTGAAAAAATCCTTCCCAGCAGCATTTTGGGATCCTAAGTTTCTCTTAAGATAGTAAACAGCCCCAGGTATAAATAACTCCTCGATAACTGCAGGTTTAGTTCCCGCGACTTTTGTGACAACTGCAGTTTCCTTTGCAGCTTTGGAGGGCAGGGGAGTCTCTGTAGCATCTGGCAACAAGTCCTTATCAATGGTACCAACTGTGTACACGCACCAAAACATCTTATGATAGACATGTCATAATGAATGCAATTAAAGGGCACAAATAAGAATTAAACACCCACAAGGGAAAATTTAGTTTACAACTTCATTTTACTTTCAGAGTAGGGGGTATGTTAAAGAAGGAGGAAGCCACCAATAGCACTAAAAACTCCAACGCATTGATGTAAAACAAGAAAAACTATAATTATGCACCCCCCCCCCCC